TATATATATATATATATATATATATATATATATATATATATATATATATATTAAACTTGCGTGTGAATAAATAGATAAAGATATTATTTTACTAGAGAATGATCATTAAAATGGTGTTACATTACTTTCGTTTAACTATTTTTTCATACTTAGTTTAGCAACAGGAATCGTAGAGCTTTCAGTTTCTAAATCTGCACATTGTGTAACTACCAAAAATACTAACTTCCACTAAAAAATATTCCACATGTTTTTAGGCTTTATTGCATAATTAGCTTTGCATTGAAGAGTGCTGTACGTTTCTTAGCTTTTTACAAGTTTAAATTATTTCCACGGTATACATATTTGGAACAAGATGTTTAGGCGAAATGGGAGTGTGCACATGATTGATCTTGCTTGTACTTTGTCATGATCCTTTAACGTTGTCATACAACTATATTTTTGGTTTACGCAGATCTCAATTAAAACGATAGAAAAATAGATTGTACATCTCCAATTCTATAAACGTTGATCTTACTTGTATAATTAATTAATAATCAACATATTTCCACTACAGTTGCGTCAATCAAATAATTTTAATATTAAATTTCATGAAAGACAAGCAATTGTTCTGTGTAATATTTAACGAGAAATCACAATGCGTATTATATTAGCATCACTGATATATATATATATATATATATCAGCAAACACTTATGTACGATTTATGCGCTTTTAAGTGTCTCAGATTTTTTTTCGATCGATTAAACTCTGTTTAATAAAACCGAAGAGGCACTATCTATATAAAATTATGACGAAAAATCTTGGGTTAACTCCTTTGGCATGTCCACAGATTACTTAAATCAAAGCGCTGCTTTCCAAACGACCACAAGACATAATTGACAAAAACTGGCATATATATTTTTCTTTTATAGTCTAATATAATTTAATTAATCTTTGCAATAACCAGCCAAGCAAGTACGTGAGGAATGTTGTTATTATACATTACGTGTAAAAGATAAGCTCGGGAATTTGACCTTCGTCGATGGATGTGCCGTTATTATCTCCCGTCTCATTACTAAATTCGAATTTCACCTTCCCATTACCCGAATCACAATCCACTATTACCGTGCGTAATCCCTTTGTGCCATAATACGAAAATGGCCCCTAAAACACAAAAGCACAAGGTATTTTTTATTTATGACACACACACACATACATATATAACGACATATTATAATTCAATTGATGGATAATTGATTGATGGAATTTTGCAAAGCTACCTTGAAAGTAGTCGACGCGGTATAAATCGTATTTGGTAAGATCTCCGCTAATTCTTTGAACATTAGACGGTACGTGTACTTTGAACCATCACAGCTGAGACTTGTTGCATTTGTAGCTATCACTTTCCCCGACGCCGTGTGAATCAGTTCCACGGACGCCTCGTATGTCGCCGGCTTCTGCATGCTACCGTAAACTCCGTAGCCGATCAGAAAGATACGTCTGTCCACGCTGAATCTGAATGAGGAGCAGCGCGTCATTTCGCACGGTTCAATCATCAACCTTCGCGAAATACAAAGCGTGATTACCGGATACGATCGCTAGTTCCGCTATATCCCCATTTGCTCTCGGTATGTTGAAACCTGCACACGGTCTGTTCCTTGCCCGTCATGCAAGATCGCGGCATCGTTTGAAATCCCACTAGAGGCTTAGGATTCAGTATGAAGTATGAAAATAAAGATAGAACCTGCAAAGTGCGCTTGTTGAATGTTTTCCATAAATTTTCGCGTTAGAAATATCCCAATCTTCGAGCTATTCAATATGAGACGCGTTCATAAAACGCACGTGATACTAGCCTCTGAATAATTCAACAAGCCAGATTGCGCTGGACCAGCCGTGAATTCTTCCTTTGACATAAGCGGGAAACGAACCAAGGACAGAGCGTTGCCTAAAACCTGGCGTTGATTTTCTGGGGTGACTGGTAACTGTTGTCTCACGCATTCGGCCTCCGACCACCTATACAAGAATTCAATGTGAATATGGGATGAATAATGATATGTCTAATGATATAATATCTAATGATATAATGTCATATATCAATGAAAACGCTGCTCAAGTTGTGCTCTTGTGTTTTAGGGGCCATTTTCGTATTATGGCACAAAGGGATTACGCACGATTAATGGGAAGGTAAAATTCGAATTTAGCAATGAGATGGAAGACAATAATGGCACATCCATCGACGTAGATCAAATTTCCAAGCTTATCTTTTACACATAATGTATAATAATGACATTTCTCACGTACTTGCTTGGCAAGTTTATTGCAGTCGTTAATCTACGCTGAAAAAGAGCCGGTCAGTAACAATAAATTGACCGATTTCTTTAGAATATTACATCAATTATTTAAAGCAGGTGTTCAAAGTAGAGTTATTTCACAGAAAAGAAATTTGAAAATTTATTCTTATTTTTGGGATATAAATTTTATTAATTTATTTTTTATTTTTGAGATATAAAGTTTATTTATAATAAAATATAGTTTATTTCTGTGAATAAACTTTACATCTAACAAATTAATTTTCAAATATTATTTTCTCAGTGTAACATCAGTGTTCTTTTTTAATCGTTTTAATCAGTGTTCTTTTGCTTGGTTGGTTATTGTAAAAATTAATTAAATTATATTATACTATGAAAGAGAGGTATATGCCAGTTTTTGTCAATTATATCTTGTCAACTATGTGATCATTTGGAGAGCAGCGTTTTTATTTATATCATATTATACAATTCACAAATGAAAAGCTCGCATTCAAATGTCTATCCAGATAAACTTGCACATATACACATAACATAATCACATATTGTATATGAATATGGCCAAGCACGAATCGTGCAGTAAAAGGATATCTTTTGTATCAGACAATCAAGTTCTCTGTGCATATGTATTATCTAAGTCTTGTCTGGATAGGCCTTCGCTCTAAATTCAAATCTGAGTATCTTATTTGAGACAAGTTTCAAGAAACGACTATTATTATAAGCTTTCAGAATAGATCACTTCGTTGTAACATACTTGCGACATACCTTAAGACAGCTTGAAACAGCTTAGATTCCCTAACGCGTAGAGTGTCTCTTTCCAAGACTACCATCAGCGTGTCGATATCAATGTCCGTAAAGCCATCCGCATTGAGAGCCTCGGTCGTGAATCGGTCTATGGTGTCCAAACACACCGAGGCTAATTGCGGCTCATCGAACAGCCGTGCTTGCGTCAAAAGCAGGAAGGCGTTGTCGCTGGTTAAATTATTCTTCAAAAAATCAACGCAATGCTTCTCCAAAGCGGACACCGCATATTTCTTCGCGGTGTACAGCGTTGTCATCACAGTCTCAGGATCTATCTGTATCTCGTCAGTATATAGAAAAAGGAGCACCGCCAAAAAGGCAGCGGGTTCTACATCAGGTACTTCTATTTCCGAAGAAGCTGTCGCGAACATCCCGTTGAACATCGCGTCGAACACGGCGCTTCCGGAGGACAGGACTAGTTTGTGTGCTGGTATACGTTGTCGTTGCGCCCCTCTTCCCACCAGGAAACTGACGTCCGACAGTATCTCGTTATTGAACAGGAACACGATTCTCTCGCGCATCGTCGCCTTTGTGCCCTGCCAATTGTACGTGACTGCAGGTTGATTATGCGTGGAAGAATTTTCCAAGGCGACGTTATTCTGCGATCGTCCTTCCAAATACGACGTATTCGCCGCGTTAGTCGGTGGCCGGCTGAAACGTTCCAAGCAGAATATATTGAATGATAACGTGCGACAAGCGTGACATTGTACAATAAATTATCTTCAGTCCCGCACTCGGAAAAAAAAAGATAGTGGTGGCAGCTATATAGTTAACACATTGTGATTATTAGCTTTATTGAGAGCAAAAGGCGAGGCATCAGCAAAAGGATTGCTTTGACTGCTTAACTTGAGATAGTACAAAAGAGTACATTTGTACTCTTGTTTAATTTTCATTTCATTATGTGGCAAATTGATACATTTAATAGTGAAGGTAAAAATGTAACCAAAGAATTTTGTGAACCCTAACTTGTTCAGGAAACAACGTTTACAAATATTTACATCAGGATTGTGCAGATTAAATAAATCCTGATGTAAATTTGTAAAAATTCTTTCCTAAACAAGTTACAGTCCACAAAATACTCTTGATTACATTCTTATTTTCACAATTAAGTGTACCATGTAGCCATGTCTCCTTGGTCATGTTTTGTATATTCTTCAGAAACTTCTTGTATCACAACTATTGATAATTTCTTCGTTTTATGAAGACTGTATATTCCTTGCATGTCTCGGCAACTTTTCGATAGAATGCAATGAATCCAAAATTCCTGTCTCTGTCTCCCATATAGCATCAGAAAATTTAAGCACATCTCATCTGCATACCAATGATTAGGTTGGCTCAGAATCCTACAATGATTTATCCTGCTTATGTTGTTTTGTACCATCTTACATACAGGATCTTCCTCTTATCTTCATATCTAAGCAGCACAAGATCTCCAGAAGATATCCTGGGAACATTCTCAGAACATCTTTTAGAGAATATTCTGTGGAGATCTGTACTGTTTGGGTAATCTCCTACACTATAATGCTGATTTTCGTGCTGAACTATTTTGTGAGATACGTATGCAGTATGAACTGTCATTTCCTCACAGAACAACTAAATTCCACTCAGTCTTTTCATATCTTTTCACAACTATGAAATATTTTAGTCCCCTTCTACCTCAGGTATGGTCTATAGTCTCCCTATGTTTCTTTTGCCTATGTTTCTAAACAAGTTAGGGGGTTCACAGAATTCTCTGGTTACATTCCTGCTTTCACTATTAAATATACTAATTTGCTATATAATGTAATGTTCAAAACAGGAAACTCTTATCTCATGTGATAACCAGAGAATTTTTTGGACTCCAACTTGTTTAGGAAACAACGTTTATAACTTTACATCAGCATTCTAAAGATGTAAAATGCTTTTTTAGTTAATTTTAGAACAAACTATACATTCCTAAACAATATCCATAGATTACTCATTGTCTACATAGGTGATAATTCATACATAGTTTACATTATTTACATATATAACGTAGATTACTATAATTTATGTCTAAACATCCAATTCTGATTTTAATATATAATTTACAATATTCTAGTTTACACATTATCTACATGTAAGTGTATGAAAAAACCGTATACACATCGCGTAGACAATAGGTAAACATAATCCGCATAGACATAATCGTGAAATCTACACAGCCTTGGAGAGTGAGCCACACCACTTCGCCACACTTGATTACCCAAAACATTCTGATCGCTGTGCACTCGTCACAGGCTTTACTCACTTATCGCCGCCGTTCGAGAACGAGGCCTCACTTCGCGCGGCGGACGAGCTGGTCGGCTGGTCCTCATCGCAGATGAAGTTGAGGGCGCGCCGTGCTCGGGAAAGGGTGACGTTACCGATGGTCTGCATGTTTCGTAGCGGTTCCCGCGATGAAGGTCCGCCTCCGTCGGCGGTTCCGTCGCGGCCGGCCGAGCCTGCCGCTGCCGCCGCAGTCGTTGTCACCGCTGCCACAGCCACCGTCGCCGCCGCGTTATCCGTCACGTCGCCGTCCTCGCTACCAGCCGCAGGCTCTCGATAGCTTTGCGCCGTCAGACGCAGGCTCTGCAGCCTCGACGCGACGTTCGGCACGTCGTTCAGGGAGGTCTCCGTAGAAGACATGTTCGCGCACGAAACGTAGTACTTGCCGAGGTACTGCCCCGTCTCATTTAATCGTGGCACTTCGCGCCAACGCGGAGCGACGGCAAGAGAGCTGGCCGAGCACGGTTACCCTCCTGGTCCTCTTTCTTCTCTTTGTCGCCTTTCTGCCTCTCTTTCTCTCTAAACACGCCGGGTGCTTGTAGCGGGTGAATGTTGGAGGGCGACCCACGCGCTACAACGACATCCCACTGCGACTTCTGCTCCTCCTCTGCTCCCTCACCGCGATTTCTCCCCCGGCCGTTCACTTCGCGAGTGAGGCGACAAACGTCACCAGCTGGTACTGACGATACAATCGCGGGTATTACCTGCTATCGACAAGACGCATCGGTTGTACCGACCGCGAGAAGCGCTCGACGTGTATGCGTGCGTGCGCACGTGTGAATTAGACACGCATGCTGCGCTGCAGTCGCTTGCATTCTTTATATAAATGGTGATAAAGATTGTAAATGGCGTTGAGGTACTAAACTACCGGAAACCACATATTGAAGGAAAGAAGGAAGACGATAAAGATTCGCGCCGCGAACAAATTTTGGGTTGGGCATTTACGCCTAAATTATCACATTATACATCTGTATATTATAACATAATAAATTACGTATGGAATGTCTGTAAAGAATATATGACTTTAATTTTAAGTTTAAAGAACATATAACTTGTTCAAAAATTATCAAGATAGCATAATGTCCAAAACTAGAACATAAAATGTCTTTAAGACTTACGATGTTCTTAAGATTTACGATTTAAAAACATCTTATGTCCCAGTTTTGGACATAAGACTGTGCTGTTTGGGTATAAGAAAAGTTTATATGTTTTTTAAACTTTAAGATCCCAAGAGAGATATAAATTTATAAAAATATATTCCAAATAAACTAAAATCCACATTCTCTGAATTCATTAAACGAGAAAATATTTGAATTTCAAGCGAAGTTATAATTAATCAAAGATAAAAGCATCAATTAATTTACGCCCCTAATATATTAGCAGAATAAAAATGCGTCGTTAAATAAGGTTTTATAACAAGTGTATTAATGATGTTTATGTACAATGTTTACATGATACAGGAAACATGTGTGCACATTTACGGGGTATTATGTATAAATACAACAAATATTTAATCAGCCCGAATTCATGTAAACTATGAATATAGCAATAACGGCGAAATATTGTATGTAGGAAGTGATTGGGGAGAATAGGGATGGGAGGGGAGCTATTTCAACTATATTAACATACTTATTACATCATTATTTGTGTTAAAATTATTGAGTGATATTACGGAACATCGCAATACATAAACAGCGGCTTGCATATTTTTCGCAGTAATATGTACACGCCTGTGTATTGAAGATCTTTCGGGATTAATGCGATACAACGTAGTTATTTTTTGCCAGTATATGTAGAGTAAAAGTTACAAACCTTCGCGAATGTACGTCAGCACGTTTCATTGATGTACGGAGAGTAGTCGAAGGCACCAATGTCGCTGCGCAAGATATTACTATTTACTAGTAAAGAAGAGAAAAACAGTTCGCGCTCGTTAGGCTAGACTTATTTTACTTATATCTTACGTGCATTCTTGCATCGATGTGCAGTGAAAAACTGCAAGATAAGAACTTATGCTGCAATTCTAAGCAAATATACGAGTAAATCGTAAAATCGTAAAGTCGTAACTTACGAAAAAAAAAATCATAGATATTTACGAGTTACCATATGATATACGATCCGCATAAAATTGCAGACCTACTCATAAGTTCTTACGAGTCTTACGAAAACAAGTTACGAGTTTTACAATTTTGTTTAGAATTGCAGTATTAATCTTAACGGTTTTTTCTTTACGTAATTATAAATATCTTCTTCCGCGTCCCTTACGATATAATCAGATTTGTTAATAATTGTCATGGCTATTGGCGTATCCAACGTTAGTCCGCACGTTGTACTTATTCCAATCAATGCCTCCTGTGCCAATATAGTCATTATTAGTTAAATATACCTCGCCACGATTTCTTTGATAAATTTTAGTAGGACTACAGTTCGTATATATCTTCATTATTGACGCAACGACGTACTTTGCAGATCTATGTTTAGACACAGTAAATTAAACTCTAATTAATTGCTAGATATTAGGGTAGACCGGGTCTAAATGGTCTCGGGGATATGTTACTGATATGCTCTTTTTAACATTTATTTTGAGAGAAACAGTGGATATATACAAAATCACGAAATGATCCTTTTACTTTTAACATGATACTTTTTTTCCGAGTTCCGATATCGAGTTTTATTAAAATCGGAATAATATTACAGTTAAAAGATAGAAAAACTAATTTAGAAGCAGTAAAATAAATTTTTGAGCCTCTCGAAATTGTGTATTAATATTCTCTATCGTGAGTGAATAAAATTAAGTGACGCGTTACTAGTTAGAATAAAGTTTCTTGCAAGTGTATGATATATTGTTTCGGATAATAAAAGCAATTTTTATTCATAAAATAATCGAAATTGAACATATGGGCGAACGAGTTGATGGATGAGTAAAAGTCTATAATTAAGGGTCGATAGGAAGGCTGTGGAGATCCTTCGCGAAAAATCTGGAACTGTTAATCAGGATATATATATATATATATATATATATATATATATATATATTTTATATGTAGCCTTTTTTTTTATATATATATTTCATGCGCTACTGGACAATTAAACCCGGTATAAGACGCGGTATAACCCAGGATAAGATAGTAACGCATGTTTGTATTTTAGTTATTATGAAACACACAAAATATACGGTTACTATATACGGTTATTAACATATAAAAGAAGGCTGCTTCTATCGTGTTTATATAGTCAGTCACAACTATTTACCTGAGAAGTTGTAACTTCGAAATAATGAAATATGAGGCGTCTAATCCCGGTCTCCCTTATATTCTATTAAGACTATTGCATAAGCTTATCGAATACACGCACAAATTTATAATATACAAGTAAAAGTACAGAATAGAAAACTGGCCGCATGTAAAATGAAGAATAGATTAGATTAAGGGTTGTAAATCTTCTAAGCTAAAGCGTTAAGTGACACGCAAGATACTCATACCCTGTGTATCTCGTTAAAAATTAATTATTAAATGAATTATTAAAGGAAACTATCGCAATATTATTTCGATACATTGCTCTTAAGTGGCGACATTAGTCGACCACTGTGTTCGTTGTGAGAAACATCCAAAATTTACGTTTGTTAACGATCATTACTTCGCCACTGTAAGAACATGACTTCACAATCGGCGAGTAGTGCAGTAATGTGGAGTTACATCTACTTTTAGCTCGTGTAAATTTGTCTTATCGAAGTAATTTGTAATAAATAAAGATGAAGAAATACTTAAGACACATGTACTATATAATAACAGATAATTGTAAACAGAACACCCAAGAGTGCACGGAAAAAAAGAACCTGGTTGAATCAACATGACATGTTTAATTAAGTAAGTTTTGGTGAAGATAAACAGATTTTCATTTATTATAATGAGATACTCTGGTATTTAACGCTAGTTGTAACATAGATAGACAACATATAACAAATCTATCAATTAGAAAAGTGATGTAGCACGTAGACAAACGACTTACAATCCGAAAGTTTCGGGTTTCACCAAAATAAAGACGAATTCTTTAAATACAATATAACATTTAATTAATTTTTAAATAGCTAATTTTCACAAGTAAAATAATCATATATTAACACCTAAAGAAACAACTTTCGCAATTAAAAAATGTAATAAAATTTCTAGTAAGAAATATGAATATATATGTGACTTTATTATTGTAACACCACATTTTTATAGTTATTTTAATTAGAACGCATTTAACCAAATTTGTTTCGTTATCTTAATCAAAATTATGTATGGTTCGTTGATTTTTCACCAAGTCTGGTTAATATATCCTAAATTCAGATTAATTCAACCAATCTTATTTTCTGTGTACGATACGATTAATTGACAGCGAGCGCATCATTTACAAAACGACACGCCACGTCCTCGATAATATCTAATAAATTAATTAGGTAATTGTCATCAGAAAATCGATGATACGATCGTTGGTAACGTTCCCTTGCGTTCTGCGATCCAACGACTTTATGAGATACTCTCCGCGCACACGTCTGCCTCGTACGTAATTTCGTATTCCCTTTCATACTATTGGTCAATCGCGACACACTCACACGCAACATATACTGTCATTTGAGAATGCGAATCGATACATTCATATCTCGTAGTCGAACTCTAGGTCTCTCAATTGATGTAGTTTACTCTTCGCTCTCCTCGCTTTGCTCAATGCGGCTTTTTTCTTCTTCGTCTTCGGCATGATTTCGCAACTGCAGCCACTTCGCACCCGGATGTAGTCCAATGCCCACTCGGTCTTGGTTTCGGGATGTCCTTCTTTGTAGTCCTAACGAGAATTAGTCTTTTGATTAAATAATGCTAAGGCTAACTCCACTCGGCAAAATCTTTCTCAACAGTTACTTATAACTACATGAAAATCTCGAATTAACTCTTCAAACGACACAAATATTACTGCAATCTCAAGAACATCAATATATATCATATTGGAATCGTTACAAGAAAAAAGAGAGATGGAAAGAGAAATATTAAGGGGATATTGAAGCTGAAAACTTTACCGACAGAATACTAGCATTTTTCTACAAAGTTTACGACGTATTGGTTATACAGAATTACAAATGCTTCTACGCAATGAAATTACATATAATAATAAATAGAAGCATTGCTTAATATATGGTGAAAACGAAAAAAAAATGTTAAACGTAAAATCTCAAGCTCGTAATAACGTAATAGCTCTCAATTAACGTAATATTTGCCTATTCCAAAAGTTCCACAGCTATAAAGTAAAAGTGTGGATGCTCAAAACAGAAAAATTTCATAGAACATTGCTGTATCTTTGCATCTGAATTCAGAAGTATAAGAATATCCGAAAAATTTGCAAAAAGGTGGTTAGGTTTTCTGCTGAATATGAAGTCTGTTTTTTCAGCTGTATTGCTGCACAGGTGCAATAAGTACAAAATATATTTCATCTCACTTTAACATATTGCATCAGTGCAGCTGAAAAGAACGGACCAATGGTGAAACAAAGCAACACACATTTCTGTATATACAAGAAATATATGTAAATGAAAAGAAGAGCGTGATTGTATTAATGACGATCGTCTCTGCCTTATCGACATGATTCGTAATCGACTTCAGCATCTCCTTAATCTCAATAATCAGAATTATGATAGAGATTTTGAACGATTCGTGGACGTACCTGCACTTTAGTAGTGTTGACGATAGCATACACGTACGCGAACTTCTGCACGCATTTAGACCGGTTACTTAACCTCCAGTCGATGAACTTGCACGGCCGGTCGAGGACGTCTGTCCTACAGGAGTACTCGAAGAACCTCTGGGTAATGTCGCCGTTTCGAAAGAGCTGGACGAACATGTTTCGTCGATTTCGACCGCCGATCGGTTCCACCATATCCACAATCGCGGGACAGCACTCGACCGCGTTGCCATCGGTGCCTATTAATTCCTTATGCAGAAGATACTCCATCTCTCGAAGTGTCATCCGCTTGTTCAGCATCCCTTCTAGTGTACTGCAAATCATGACGGAAAATATTTTTTCCCTGACCGAATTTCGCGTTTGAGCTGCTCCTTCCCGCATATTTCCCCTGGCAATGCAAACGAAGCGTAATTCTAAATCATCGTCGAGGCACGTTAACGACTGTCATACTAACAAGCAATTTAACGAGAGAGCGATATGTATGTGCAGAAACGTCAAAATTATGTCTCGCTACGCCACATTGAGCGACGTTCAATTTAAATCGGACTTAGCTCGCCGTCAGAATAAACACCGGTATTCCTCCCAATGCAATCGGCACGACCGCGCGCGCGCGAACGCTAATAGCTCGTATCTAAATTACACGGTAGAATGTTGTTGCGGTTAAAAAAAATTACACGGTACATGATATTTTACTTCGTTTCATATTCATTATTAGCATTTTATGCACGCTACCAATAATTAAGATAACAAGCGCGATCGATGAAACTAATGTTCAAACGCGACACGCAGCGCGTTTTCACGCGTTCTAATTAGAAAACCTTTAATAAGAGAATCGTCAACTGGTCGCGCGTCGATTGGTTGAGGGCGTCATGGACAGCCATAGCTTTGAGAAGAGATTAAAATGACAGTGAGTGGAGTGAGAAGATAGGAATAGTGTTAGCATATAGTGCGCTAATTGATGGTTTTTCATATCTTATCTGTCTTCCTTTGGTAAGTTTTTAGACTAAATAAGTTTTTAGCACTATCTATTAACACTATTCCTGTCTTTTTGCTATCACTTTAACCTTTTCTGAAAGCTGTGGATGTCCATGAAGCCCTCAGCGCGCGACCAGATCACGTGATCGAATTGACGACTTATTAAAGACTCGCTTTCTAATTCCTCTTAAATCTCGTGAAATGAACTACAATAATAAAAAACAAAGCGATAACAATATGTAATATTTTTCAACGTTAAAAGATTAGTTTATACCTAAAACGCGCACACAATAAGATCGATATTTATTTCCTTGAATTTTAATGAAAAGATCCCTACTCACAAGTGAGGGACATGTTCTCTATAAAGATGGTCCTTGTTCTTTCGAGAGGAGAAGGAATAAGTCAGATTGTTGGCGGCAGCAAGCCGCGGGCACAGGACTGCGGTCAGCCAAACCACCTGCAATAAGAATCACGAAAGCGTATAAATTATTTGTTCATGTGTTTAATATTACATTATTTTCTATAAAATTTATAAGTTAAAAAGATATATTAACCCTCCGGAGATATACGGAGAAAATATACTAAAAATTACAATACAATTTTAATACTGCGCAAATCGCAGTGCGTTAATAAAAATGTATCATACATATAGTAGTAGTTCGCGTCTACTGATTAGAGACATTAGTGATATTTTGTTTGACTTCATTTCTTTTTTTTTTTTTTTGATAATTGCAGAACTTTTATACAAAGTACAAATTGTTTTATTACATATATAAGAAACCTTAGATTAATAGCTAACTTCTAAATTTGGAATTTGTAATTTTGTATGTTAATAATTTTTCTAAATTTCGTTTTCGGTAAAAATATTGTGATAGCGCACTTTTTTAGAATGTATACTTTGTGCAAAAGGACTTGTAAGTCAATGCAGTCAAAACGACATAGGATTTTTGTGGCGTCCAGTTGGTACTCTGACATCCCCTTAATATTAAAGCGGAAAAATGATCTCGGCCATCAGGATCTAATTAAAAATGATACGAAGAAATTCCTTGAATTTTTGCAACGTAACATCTGTCATAACAAGTGAATAGCACTTTCCAACTCGCGCCTGATAACAACCGTCAACCTTATGCATTTCTGTCGCGACAGGTGTGTGAATGTACGTGTGTGTGTGCGTCTTAATGCCACGATCGTGCTATTTTGACGCGGCATAGTGCAAACAATAACTGCGTCGTACCTGTCAGCCGCCAAGGGACTAATGCGCATGACTTGACGATTTTATATTTCGCGAACTGTCAGATTAGAATAGAACTTAATATCGCGGCGAAGGATCTCGCGCGCGCTCGCGCGTGAGAAAGTATCCGGGACGTCGGAGATTGGCGCGAACGTGCAATAAAGCACGGTGTTAGTCACGCATCGCCCGAATCCGCGCGCGGCACACGTGAGGCGCGGTGCACGTGTGAACTTACGGAGGTGAAAACATTAATTCGGCTTATAATTTTTATGCAAAACAGGCCTCACGGCGCCGCTGCGCTCGCCTCGTTAATACGAGCGTGCCTCTTTCTCGCGTACAGCACACTTTCGATTTAATTGCGCCGTATAACTCGTCACCAGAGAGTACCGCGGAACCGGTCCGCTCCATTCACCGAGCTAAATCTCTTCCTCTCTGTTTTTTTGTGTCCGCTGCGGCACAGCAAGATCTTTGAGACGCGTGTAAGGTGCAGTATTCACGATTGTTTATTGCACTCGCGAAAAGAGGGTGATACTTGGCGATTCGGCCGCGAATATGAATAGAGGAGACTGGATCTAGATGGCCCCAGAAATATATGTTCTGTGCATTTTTTTTAGTATTTATTTTAAAAGGAACAATGGATATGTACAAAATTGCGAAATGGTCCTTTCAGAATAAATTTTTTCCCTGAATTTCATTAAAATCAGAATAATGTTATAGTTAAAAAATAGAGAAAATTGATTTAGTAGTAGCAAAAGAAATTTTCGAAATATTCGAAATTTTGTCTTGAACTCCTTGTATCTCATCTGCCATGTCGGATTTGTGACACTAGAAACGAGGAATAATATATGCTGATGAAAAATATAGTTAACAGGATTGTAGCAGGCATTAACACACAGAAGCAGGCTGTTTGCGTCATGTAAAGTCAATTGTATAGTCAATCACAACAATTATTTGTCTGAGAAGTTGTAATTTCGAAATTCTGAAGTATGGAACATCTACACGGAGAAAAATAATTTGCTGGCCCAATTTTCTACTAGTCTAACAAAATCTTTTCGTTATTATATGAATAGCAAAAAGATTTGCTAGGAGTACTAATCACTATTTGTTGGATATAATTTGCTGAATCTACAAATTATTTTACTGTAAGAACTATGATGGATTTATATAAGCAGTTGCAGTTTTGCTCCGATAGATAATAAATACTAAGAATACATTATTTTGCATTAATAGCAAATTAACGTGATTCTTAGGACAAATACACTTAACAAATTTTTTTTATCCTGGCAACGAAACTATTTCTATTCTGATAACGAATAATTTGTAAAATTAGTTATGTCAACTAAATTTTTTGCTGTCACTACGAATATGCAGTAGCAACGACGATTTTGCTAAAAAAGGAAAATTATTTTTCTCCGTGTAGTCCCGGTCTCCCTTGTTTGGTGAGAAAACTCTAGAATAAATTCTCAGCAACATGTCAATTCTCCCTGATTTCTCAAACATACGATCGTCTCGTTATTAACATCACGACCTTACCAGCGTCTATGAAGGCTGATGCTCGACTCAGTCTGTATACTAAGCCATACACACATTATTATTGACTATCGATGACACTTTCTTTCACGCGACCGCGAAGCACCGCTGAGGGGCGAAAGTCGAACGAGAGCATTGCCGACGAGGCTGATATAAACGAGACTACGCGAAATAGTCCAGCATCGCCGACGTTTAATTAAGCCATCGTTCCTCAGGGTGAACGGTTAACTAAGCGGCGCCTCCCATACGGAGAACTCGTATTGGGAAGACTGCGTTCGGATTAAACGGATATTCACACACGCGGGGACCACACATCGCGTTCTCCCCGACTCCTTATCGGGCTCTTGCATCATCTGAACGGGAAAGGAATTCTCTCGTTGGCACCGCGATTTTAATCGTATCGAGACGTGCCCGCCGGCTCGCAGTGGCAGACATTGCGGCATAACTTAGCGATACTTAGCGCTTAATTGCCCGCTAAATCAAGAACGATCGCGACGAACTCAGTGCGTCCAAATTGTCCGATCGTAAACATAATTGTCGGCGAAAATGGCCCTTGTCACTTATTAGGGTGAAGCTGAAGTGGATGACGAATATGTCGATAACGCGACCGTCACTAACACGAGCTTACTATCTTTTTCGTACTCCTTGCACATATAAAACTTCTATAAATGCTTTGTTTTACCATACCAGCAGGAAACATAACCACATATATATAGAAATCTTTCTGTAAACTTTTCAGATATTTTGAAGCTTCTGAATTCAGATACGAAGGTATAGCAATATTTTTCACAATTTTTCTGTTTAGGACATCCATACTTTCGGTATGTATGAGTTGTGGAACTTTTGGATCAGCCAAATATCCCAACTGACAGCTGAAGATTTTACATTAAAAATTTTTTTTTAAGTTTTTATCATATATTAAGCAATGCTTCTATTCATTCTTGCGCATACTTCCATCGCGTAAAAGCATTTGTAATTCTGTATAACCAATATGACATAAACTTTGCGGAAAAATGTCAGTATTCTGTCTGTAAAGTTCTTAGCTTCAGCATCCCCTTAATACGCGCATAAATATCGGGAGTTTAATGTGATATTCAAAGTGGAATGAGACGTAACATAATAAACTGCACGGGCGCGAAGCAGGGATTATCCCTTTTCCCGTGTACAAGCCGCGGGTATCTCGCGTCGACGCACGAGATTTCACGGCGATGCTCCTAAAGAAAGGAAGTTAAGCCGCCACTCGCTACCTCGGGGTTGCGCCCGGGCCAAGAAGACGTCAATTAGCGCCGCGGATTTCTCTCTCTTTCCCCCTCGCTCCACGACGCGATAATGAAATGGCCGTGCGCTCAGGCGCGCGCCAGAAAGGCGCTTTCGCGAAAGTCGAAGTTAGCCAGTCGTTCCTCGCCCGTGCACGATAATCCCGGGTGTATTTCGGCGGGGGCCGGTGCCGACTGCTTGCGTCGTAATTCCGTCCGCTCCGCGAGTCCTGGGCAATCATCGTTCGTCTTGCAATTTTAACTAATGACAGTCTGACAGAGTTCGCCATTACCCACCCCGATCATTATCAATCCTCGGCGAATAAAGATTTACCGCCGCGGCGTGTCTGTCCGCGCCGCGTAAGAGCCGCGTAAGCTACGGTACTCGGATTGCAAACTCGTTCCGCGTTTACGAGTGCGCGCATATTGCGCACCCATTGCGCACAACGCGCGCACACGGGGGTTCCGCGCATTGATCGGCCAACGAAAATACGGAGCAATCGACTATAAGTCACCATGCGACGGCGAAGTTAACTGGAGACGACGTTTTTATGGCTTCTTTGCGCTCAGAATCCCGTCCGGGTCCCTCTCGAGTAAACGTAATTTATGTACATCTTAATTGGGTATACATTTCGACCCGGCCGAGTGTATACGCGCTATTTGAAGGCGTTTATTGACTATCCCGTATCGATCGTTAACGGCCATTGAAGTCAATGGATTCTTATCTCATCGTTTTGTCGGATCGCTGGGATATCTAGCGCCCTCCCGAAGATGATAAATCATACAATTATTACAGACGTGATACGTCAATGTAGCCGTCCGTAACGTAATTAATCACGAGCGCATTAACTGTGATACGGGATTGACCAATCGTATTTCTCGTTAGGCAAAATTGACAAATACGATTGATCAATTTCGCCCGAATAACTGGACGGTTAAAGTTGGTAGAAACGGGCGTAAGAAATATAGTAAACTTCGCTAGAAACATAACAGAAGACCTTCTTGCTAACTTTCGCAAATAGTTCAGACAGAAACTCTGCCATATGAATTAAATACAAAACATATGTGATATCGCAGTGCTGGATAATTATTTCCATCCATCTTAGCTAATCTCCCATATCTAGATAATTTTCGTTATGGCCACAAGACCATTTTTCGAGCGTAATGGCCAGATTGTACCATTAGTCTAATCCAAAAAACACTTAAAACTTATTTAGAACCAATGATAAGGTAACAGGCCTCTCTATTTCTCTCTCTCGCTCTTATCCTTGACTCTTTGCCGTCACGGTGTATCAACGAAGAAAGAAATATCACTTCTCCCACGTGGAGGCGACGGGAAATAATTTGTGACGCAATTAGAGTCCCATAACGCATTGGCGATGACGCTACACCGCCGGCGCGGCACGGCGCGACGACTAGCCCCAGCCTCCGTATCTCATT